AACCATGAGATACTTAAGCTTGTGTGTCTCATTCATTCCACTTAATATTATGGTCTCAACTTACATCCATTTTCCTAAAATTGACTCAAGCCTGTCCTTTTTTGATGGCAGAATAATACTCCATTGTGTGTAAATACATTTTCCTTATCTATAATTCTCTTGATAGACATACAGGCTGCTTCCAAGATTTAGCTATTATGAATTGTGCTGCTGTAAACATGGGTATGCATGTATCACTGTCATATGATGTTCTTAACTCTTTTGAGAAGATACCTAGAAGAGAAATAGCTGGGTCAAATGGAGTTTCTAGAATAGCTGTAACTATTTAGAGTTGATATTGCTTTAAATTCCTCTTTACATGAGCTCCCTAAACTTATATTATTTAAACTTGTATTGTTTTTGGAATAACAAACCAAAAATAGAGGTAGAAAATATTGGCTCCCCGAACTCATTATTTGATCTTAATGTTGGGACTAGTTCATCTAATCGAAGTGGTTTCTTTCTAGCCAAGGTTCAGAAATGGCCTCGCAAGGACGGGAGCTGGCTAATCATTTCCAGAGTGAAGGCACGCCAGTAATGATTGGTAAGGTGTTTGGACATCTTGGACTTTTTTGCCAATGTGGAGAATAATGCAACTTATTAGTATAAAGTTTTAATGTTTCATAAAATCGGTCATTTTAAAATTAACTTTTACACTATACATATTCACCAAATTTTTAAAAATTTCTACGATAGTAGAGAGGTTATTAAAAAAGATTATAATAACCACAAGAAAAGGTTAGAAGAGGTGATAGCTGTCTTTAAACATTCAAAGAACTGACAGCGCTGCTGAAAAGAGGAGATGGTCACTTGACCAAGTATCATGAACCATGGTTCTGCCACTAACTTGGCTGGCTGTATGACCCTGTGCAAATGACCTAGCTCTCTGGGCTCTATTTGTAAAATAGACCTAAAGAAGCATGATTCTATAAAGCACAAAGCTTGTCCTGTGATAACAGGAGGCAAGCTGAGACTGGTACGTAGGAACTGGAGGTAGGCGGATCTCAGCAGAGCATCAGAAAGAATGTAAGTGATGTGGTTTCAGCAGAGATAGTCCAAGCAGCACCACCTCCACAGTGGCTATTACTCAGTCGGGAGGAGTTCGATCGCTCCGTGGCCCATTCTGTCCAGCTTAGGCAGTTCACGGGCTGTGACAGCAGAGCATAAGCTGTGTTACAGGTGTAATTTTATCTTTTCAGAGTGTATTTGACACCCAGGCTTTTTATAGTGTAGGATACTGCATTTTAATGCTGTTTTAGATTAGTCTTTGTAAATGTAAATGGAGTAGGCAGTTGGAATTAGTCTATGCCCTGCTATACTTCATATTTCTTCTTCTCTAGGGGGAGGAGTCTTGGCCCACACAATACTAGGAGTTGCCTGGAATGAAATGACAGGAGAAACAAAATTTCTCATTCTCGATCCACATTATACAGGTGCTGAAGATCTGCAAGTTATTTTAGAAAAGGTAAATACAGTGTCTGTTTAACACTGATTTAAACACAAAGCAAAGAGCTCAGAAAAAGACAGCAGGCTTGTTTTTAAAAGAAAGATAAGCTGCGCAGACAGGGAGCCTCGCTGTAAGGAGTGGTTCCAAGGCTGTCACGAGCAGTTATGTCCCTATGGGGAGGACAAGTGGGACCACATAAATTGCAAAAGACAAAATTTAGATTAAATTGTGTGAAAATTTTCTCAGTTCTCAAACTTAGTGAAACACAGAGCTCATAAATGTATTCCTTTGGAAATTCTGTAACTTTGCGCAAACAAATATACCGGGGTTTATCAGTGCCTTGAAATAGGAGACCAGAATATAGAAATTTATAATTTTAGAATTAACAAATAGCCAGCCATGGTGGCACAAGCCTGTAATCCCAGCACTCAGGAGGCTGAGGCAGGAGGATCGTTGCAAATTCGAGGCCAGCCTGGACTACAAAGTGAGTTCAAGACCAGCCTGAACTACATAGTGAGACCGTCTCAAAAAGACCAAAAAGAAAAAAAAAAAAAAGATAGCTAAGCAAAATGCTGGACATCACAGAGGTTTGACTACTTAACCTGATGTTATTCTAAGTTAAAGGTTCTGAGGTTGAGACAGATCTAAGAGTATGTGTTGATGCCTACCAAATCATCTAATGGAGGTATAAGTTCAAATTGATTTACAAGGAAGTAATTCCCACATAAAAATTGAATAATAAATCTTTAGGAAACAGGTAGTATAAGGCACAATTAATCTGAATTTTAAATAATATTATTTGCCAAATACTAAAATTACAGAGCATACATATGACTTTTTAAATCATAAACTAATGAAGATATCCTGTTACCCTTTACTCTTCATTTTTGTCACTTAAATCTGTATCATTAGTATCACAGAAAGGTTTCTCAATGAAGTTGTAGCTTAATTACGTTACTTTTTAAAAAGCAGAATTACTGGAAAATAGGATGGTTTAACATTGAAATTCACTGGTAAGATTATTTTCAGAAGAACTATATTGTTCAGAACTATAGTAGTTTACTAAAATCCTAAGGATAAAATGTTTTAATGTTTATGTTGAAGAGTTCTTAGTCTTTTTCTATAGCAGAACTCTCATGTCCTCAGTTTATTAAAGTTTTTGTTAGTGATAAGTGTAAATACTAACAGGATATAAATGTGTTCTGAAAATGTTAAATGTTTTTCTTTTCAAGGCATTTGGAATTTTAAGTCTATGAAAGGTTTTTGATTACTGCACATATCTTTCTGAAAATCATAGCAATATTTACTGTTTCTATAGCAAAGTGTTCAGTCAACATTTAAAGTCAGGGGTGATGAAACATGCCTGTAATCCCAGCACTCGGGAGGCTGGCAGGAGGATCTGAGCTACTTAGTGAGTTTAAGACCAGCCAGACTACTAGTCAGACCATGTCTCAAAAATACAAATAAAACAAAAACATTTAAGAAGCCAGTGTGTGACAGTCATTGCCCTAAGCACTGAAGCTTTTACAAGATTTTTCAGGGGCTCACAGTCTAGTGGGGAAGGACCAAAGGAAAAGTTTCTCAAGATAAAAATATTGCTGTGTACAATGGGTTTACACGGCTGATGCTACAGGGAGGGACAGCTTAGAGCCATGAATGGCAAGGATGACCCTCTCCAGTTCCAAGGAGTGACACAGCAGAGAAGCCAGGAATTGAGATTTTATCTTAAAGGAGGGAGAAACCTCAGTTATTTTCATCTGAGGAGTTATCATGGGTAGTAAGATTGCTTCTTTCTGGCTGGCTTTGCAACAGATGGAATAATCTAGGTTGGGTTTCCTGGAGCAGTTAGAGGAAACCGTCACCCCTGACTACTTACTGAGAAGTGCAGTCTTCCCTCGCTACTTATATTTCCATAGGACTTCGCAGCAGCAGAAACCCCCTTGATCCAGTACATATAAGAAACCATGAAGCCAGCATGCAGCTGATCAGTAGAACCTTGATTATCACTGGGCTCCAGCAGTCTAGGAGGTCGCAGGCAAGTTCTGCCTCCTCCAGACTCGACCCTCATGGGGAGGTCTTTGTGCCACTGCCAGGCCAGTCATCTTGACAGGAGGCATGGGTCCCTGTATACTTGCTCTTTGACACCCTTTCTGCTCACTTCCCTTGTAAAAATCAATGGATATGGTTTCCAGGAGAAGGGCTGCATATAGGAAAGTATCACAAAAAAGTTAAAACAGAGATATAGATGTTTTTAATATTTGTAAAGAGACGTTCAGACATTGAATATATTAAGTTTTACAGAAAAAAATGAGTTAAAAATAAGTTATCAACAAACAGGTTTAAAAGCCAATGATCTAATCTTAACGGTGTTTACCTAGCAGGGAGAACTAGTTTTCTTTCCTTTTCTTTTTAAACTTTGATCTTATTTGAATATGTAGGTGTGTTTTAGTTTTATATCAAGTAAAAGAATGAAAAAATAAAAACATTTCCAATCAACCCTCCCTCCTCCATAGTAAAAAACAGCTGATATACTATCTTCTGTAGATACTGTGGATTTTGACTCTAGGTCCCTGCCAAAATACCCTGCATCTTCAGAGTTAGTTAAAGGAATAACCCCAGTATTTGTCAGTTGTATTTTTAGAGTCCTCAGCTAGCCTCCTTGCAGGTATTTCTCAATGCATCTAATTTTATAATAAAGTAAAACAAGCCAGTCATCAACTTGTTAAGAAAATAAATTAGTGGCCCTGGAAGAAATCTGATAAACTCTCATTCATAATGAGGTTCCATTTGAAAGTAATTTTCTCTGCTGTAGGATTAATATGGTTATGGTAGGAAGCAGAATTGGTTATAGTCTGAAGGAAGTGAAAGAACATAAAATGCACCTCACAGAGCAAACTCACTACTGTATTTCACCTTAGCTAAGATGCCATCACATGGTACACACCAGTCTGTTATGGTCTAAAAGGGACAGTCTGCGCATAGGCTGCCATTACGTTATCAATTACCAGCCATGCTAAAGTGTGCTTCTCAGAACCAGTACAGTGCAGTGTCTGGACTCACAGTTACTGGAAGGAAGTTTTTCTTTTTTGATGATTTCTGTAGTTAAATAATGTAGCATTAAAAGTTTAAAGATCTGTATTACCTTTCCACACTTAGTCCTTAAATTATGTAAGTATTTGAGTCTCGATCTGATGTCCTGTTGACAGTTTTATAGCATAATTTCTATCATGTAGTCTGGTAACTCTTGGTAAAAAGTGTTCCTTTCTTCTCCCAAATTCAGGGCTGGTGTGGATGGAAGGGCCCAGACTTTTGGAACAAGGATGCTTACTATAACTTATGTCTTCCTCAGCGACCAAATATTATTTAAATTGTGTTGAATGCAAAAGACACTGTAGTGAAGTGGTATTATAAATTTGTTAATAAAAAGTTAATTTCAAATTAAATCCTGGGTATAGTTTGATGGTTTAAATGATGTTTCTTTTTAAAAAACAGTAAATACTGCACAGAGATTTTATTCTTTAGCCATTCCTTTAATAACTTAAAAAACAAAACATGCACAATCAAAATATTACAGGCATGTAAATACATGTATTCTTAAATGTTCTCTTCACTTGGAAGAAAGTGTGCCTCCACCTCGGAGTTTAAACACATATGGTAACCCAAAGCCATCGTTTGTGGATTTTCGTTGAATGAAGCCCTGCTTCAAGCCTCTTCATAACCAGTATGACATCTGTTTTTTAAAAAACATGTTAACATTAAAAACTTCTTTAAGAAACGGTTTTCTCCCCAAACTTCCATTATGAAGGGCAAATTTCTGTCTCTAAAATCTAGTACAGTAGTAGTACTAACTATACAGGTATTAACATGTTAATAAAATGAAAACCAGGCACAGGTGTGCACACCTATAATCCCAGCACAGGGAGCTAACGCAGGAGGGTCACAAGCTTGAGCCCAGCCTGGGAAACTTAGAAGACCCTGTCCCAAAATTTAAAAAAATTTCAAAGGGCTGGCGATATAGCTCAATGAACAGGCCTGGGTTCAATCCCTAGCACTCCCCCAACCACAAAAGGAAAGAAAATAAAGAGACAGTACCAAAATAAGAGTGTCAGTAAGTAAATGGAACAATAAATTCTAGGCTAAAGGAGATTCTTGAGGGAAGGAAAAAAGCAGTTTTACATACTTACCAACACCGTCTTTTCTCATTTATATTTTCTGTACTCCCAAAACTTCGTTTCTGTCTGAGCACTGGAACACAGTGATCCTGAATGGCTTGTTCCCTTGATTTTACCATCTGCGTACATTTAATTGTTGTAAGAAACTTGGCACATTCTGGAAATCCATATAACCAAGCAAGATCCTCGGCTGTCTGCCCATTCTTATTACATAGACTGAAATCAGAAAAAAATCGAATTAAGTAAAAATTGATACTTACTTAATTTTTTTTTTTTATCCTATTTTGCTAACAAAGGATTTGGGGCTCATACCATGGATGAAAAATACAAGAGGTAAAAAACAGGGAAATTTCATTGTTGCTCACTATTGCATCCTTAGTGGCTAGCAGATTCATCACAAAGTGGGCATTCCATTGTTGAATGGGTACAAGATATCTGGCGTTAAACACCGTGAATGGAGTGCCCAAACGTGGCCAAGAACAATTTCTATAGAGTAAGCCTACCTAGGGCAAAAATGCAGTGGGATAATGAATAGAACTGCACCTCTGATTGCTTGGGATCCATTTTTATACTACCTACTCGAACTGATGTGACATATCACTGAGCGATAACGTTAAATAACACTACGTTACTAACTAGGCAAGCATTATTTTAAAAATTAAAAGCACATGCAACGAAGAAGCATCAGAACTCTGACTAGTTTAATCCAAGAAAACAAAACTTGAAGCCATTTATGTGTTTTATACTCACTCAATCTGGGCTTCACCGGCTACAAGCAGGCTAAGGCATTCCAGACTTCCAACTTTAGCTGCCTTATGGAGTGGAGCTTCTCCCAAAACATCCTTTAGGGAAAGAAGGCATTTTAGAGTCTCTCCCCAAAGCACTTCATTTACCTGTAAAGTTGGTGAGTGAAGTCTTAACTATTTGAGGAAGCCGGTTAGAATGGCGTTGCACAGGCTGCATTTTTTTAACTCAAGCTTTTTATTTGTGATACCGTTCCCTTATGGTGCTACCTAGTACAGAGTTTTCATTAATAAAAGTGTGGCCACTCTACATTAAAATTTAATAAAAGCAAAACAATTCTACAGAAGCCAAAACTTTTACAGTTTAAAATTCACCGTATTGTAATATTCAGTGGAAGACAAAAACTATCAAAAGAAAATACGGCCAGACTGAACTGAGCTATCCTATAAGAGTGAATTATACACTGGATCGTGGGACATGGAAAACAGCTCATCAATAATTGCTTTATACTGGTTACATATTAAAATATTTTTACAAATTCTGTTAAATTACTAAGTATTTCCTTTTCATCAGTGTCGCTACTAGAATATTTTAAATTACGTGTCCTGTGTTTCTGTTGGACATCCCTGTTACACACACGTAACAGCCGAACCGAATGGCCAGCCTGGCAGCGAGCAGGAAATGTGTGAAGTTGAGGTGGAGGCGCAGGTCGTGTACAGCCACAATCAGTTACCTAGTTACCTGTTGGTTGAGGTCAGCGCCTGTCTGCAGTTGCCAGAGAAGAAAGTAAGCAAAGCCACCACCCGCAGCTAAGTGGACAGGGGACTGCTCACAGGGGTCCGGGGGTGCATTGACGGAACACCCACTCTGCAGCAGCTGCCTCAGACCATCCGCCTGCAGAAGAGAACAGATTCAGCACCCGTCTCGCCTTTGTCCGGTCCTGAGCTCTTTCCCAAATGAAACTTTTCCCACTGCAGAAGCCGTCAAACCGACAAAGCTGTTCGGCTCGGCGGAGCAGTCAGACCACCTTTACCCTCGCTGGCAGCTCTACCCTGTGGGACGAAGATGCCCCAGTCTCACCTCCGGGTTGCAATCAAGCAACAGCATCGCCCGCCTAAAGCAGATGGCAAGAGTCCCTGGAAATGCAGAGTGGGTAGGAGAGTCGCTGCAGACTTGTAGGTAAGAATGCACAAGCCTGCCCCAGTGGACGAGAATTTAAAGCCCCTGGCCACCGCGCCCAGCCGCCTAAGCCTCCGCGGGTACTTTCCCGTCCCGGGGGCAGCACGTACACAAACACGGACACGTGCAGCCAGAAACCAGACTGGGCAGGATGTGGGGAGGGGAGGAGCCAGGGGCGCGAGTTCGCCAGCCGATTGGCCATTCCAGGAGACGCCCGGCCCGCCCACTGCGGGGCGGGGCCGCTGGCCGCCCCGGGAACCCAGCGCGCGTGCGCCTTGAAGGCTGCGGGCTGGGAGAGCACGGCTCCGGGCGGTTGGGATTTGGCGCCTGCCATGAGGCGCGCTCAGTCTGTCACGTATCGCGGCCGGGTGCCAAGCCCTTTAATCCTTCCGGAGAAGCGGGAGTCGCGGGCGAAGGTTTTGGTTTCTGCGCCCGCGCACGTAACCAGAAAAGAGGCGACACTGAGCTGTGCCCCCACCCTGCCTTTGGAAGCCGCCGTGCGCGGGGCGGGGGCCGGGGCGGCGGCCGGAAGAGGGGCCGCCCTCTGCCAGGCGCTCGCGTCGCCGCTCCCCGCCGGAAGTTTGGGAAGGAAGACCCGGGCGGCGGGTTCTGTGTGGGAGGACAGGGCTCCCCGCGGGGACCGCCCCTCCCCAGGAGAGCGCGGTGGGGGTGGGGCCGGGAAGTGGCCGCCGCGCAGCGTCCCCTCGTGGGGCGTGAGCGCCAGTGCGGCCGGGCGGACGTGAGTGGTCTGCCGGCGGGAGGCGCCGGGCTGTCGTGGAGAGACCAGACCGGGCTCGGGCAGTGAAGACCTGGGGGCGCTTCCCCGGGCCGGGGGTCACCCGGGGTGCTCGGGAGGCAGGACGGGGAGGATGACTTTCCCAGAGCTGTTCGTACAGTTCGGCTTGGTCGTTCACGCCCGCTTGTCAAACCTCAAACATTCAGTTGAGATTGGAGGCACTGACAGACTTCTCTTCCTCAGCACTCTCCCCACGTTAATCTAGCTAAAACCCAACCCTCCGACCATGTATTTCTTTCTCTAAAATTTTTCAATAACTAGCCCCTAAAAATAAGTGTTTATTGTACTTTCAGAGGACTAGCTCAGTTTCTTCTTGTCTTTTATTTCTAATTTTCTTTACTGTATATCGTTTATTTTGTAATCAGACTCACACGATAATTCTGTACTCATAAATTTGTGTTATTAAACTTAGGTAGTAGCCCAAGGGGTAGTTTTAAACATTTTTATTCATGTGGCTATTTGACCCTTTTCAGATGACACTCCGCGTCCTTTCGTCCGTCCTAAACCCCATAATCCAGTCACCTTCCAAATCCCCGCCTAGGAGACCGTGAGGCTTTTATGGGACATCGAGACAGAAGCCATTACATGGCCCATCTGCGACTAGGCTAGAGCAAAGTGCCCTGAGTGAGGAGACTCAAGTTTTGACTGGGGAACAAGCTATAGTAAGGGAACAGCTGTGGGGTGTTTTCAGTTATCGTTCACAGAAGCTGGGGATAGGGACACTAACTCAGAAAGAGGAGGGCACCACAGTATCCACTACACTTACCTTTCTTTCTTTAAAACCACAGATTTCTTTCAGATTCTGTATTATCCAGTAATGTCTACAGTTTCTATTATAGAGTTTTCTAAAGTTACAACATATTATGCAAACAGTTGTCAGGCTTCCAATGATTTTATATCAAATCTCAAGATTTGGCAGGAAACTTACCCTTGCTTTTTTTTCAGCCTTCGTTTTTATTTTCTCTTACTGAAAAGTACTGTACTAAATCTCAAGGTATAGGAGTCCTGTCGTGTTAAAAAAAAAAAAAAAAAACTTAGTTTGGTACTTTAGAGAGACAAAATAGAACAGTAAGTGCATAGTTGTGAGGACATCCCAGCTCTCCCACTGAGTAATTACATAAATTACCTATCACCGTGCCTCAGTTTCCTAGTAATAGTCCCTATTGCACAAAGTTTCATACGAATGAGTGCTTGTAAAGCACTTAGAAAAAGGACCAATACATTTAGTAAGAGCTCAATAAGTGTCATTTTCCAGACTTTCTCCAACACTTCTTTTAAGCTACAGTGACAAAAACCATGAACACTCATAACCACAGAGGGCAATGAGAGCTTACAGAAGGTAAGGTATTGTTCTCTGATTGGCTTAACTTATGGTTCCCTTCCTCAATATGCCAAGGATTTTCTTAACCTTTCTTTGTGTATAGTTGCATACTAGGTTAATACCTTCAGTGAAAGTAAAAACTTGTGAATCGTTTCTGGGTAATAAATGATAATGCACACTACCTGCATTATCCTATTTGTATTTTCTTCTACCTAATAGTGCTTCACCCTTTAATTCATTGGGAACTTTATATTCATTAATGAAACCATAGATTTGGGGAATCATATAATGAAATAATTATATCTAGAGACATTTTTGAATCATGTAATTCAAACTATCATAGTCTAAACTACGGATGAAATTGACTCTTAAAAAAGATAAATGAGTCTTGCACAATCACAAAGATAGTTCATTTTTTTTGCTAATATAGTGAATTACTTCCCTTTTCTGCATTTCATTGTCATTTAATAAAGCAATTTATCTTGTAATTATAAATGCAGCTTTCCAGTCAATCTCTTGAGTTCTCTTGACCACCAGTCAGGAACCTGGCCTGAAAGCTCGTTCTTGATTGGTTCAAGTGAGCTATACCAGTAGAATGCCAAGGAATAATCAAAGGAGCATAGCAACAACTGAGTTTGCTGTCTCACACTCCCCCACCTGAGCCAATCTGGACTCCTTCATCCTAAATGAGGTGGCCTCTACATTTTATATGAAGGCTGTGCTTCGCCATTCAACTGTAATCCATCTAATGACATGGCAGACCAAAACAGACAGGAAGACAAAACTGAACAACACAATTAAAATAAAGTATATTCCCAGGTAAAATTGACAGATGCTTTCATGTGAAATGAATTAGTCTGATGAGCTTAAATTACAAGGCCATACGAAGGCCTTGTACATAAGAACTCTATTGTCAGTGTTATGAATTCCCGCTAACTGGCAGCAGTAGTGGGTGACATGACTCAGCATAAGTTGTCAGATAGGATTTGCAAAATGGTTTCTTCATCAGCCCTGTGCTGTGAAAAGGAACGGTGGACAGCTTTGTTTTATAGGTATGGAGAGGCCTGGTTTCCTAGGAAAAAATGTTCACATCTCAGAACTGGTAATTTGGTGTCATACTGTTAGGCCATGAGGGGGTGTGTAATGGATACCAACTGGGGATGGAGCCTCCCTTTGCACTTTTCTGGAGGAAGAAATTTCTGCCATTTTATTTTTTATTCTTGTTTACAGAATACACATTGTGGAAACAGGATGAATTTGACCAGTGAAAAGTTGCCCAAGAATCCCTTTTACACCTCTATATCTCAATATGCTGCTAAGCACCAAAAAGTCTTCCAATGGAGAAAGGAAAACACTGGTACAAATATGGATATTTAATCTTCCCTTGAAAAATATGCTTACTAAGATTTCATATGTTAAGATAAACAAGAAATGTATGTCTTACTGATTTCAAGGAAGTGGTTACTTTTATGATCCTTCATAAAACTTTCCTGCAAGAATCTGTGAAATTGTGACTTAATGTGGTACCAAAATATACGTGGAAGAGTCCCAGAATTCAATCCTGATTCTGATTTTACTGTCAGGATTTAAGGATGTGCTTCCAGAAAGGAAAAGCCAAATGTCAATTCTGTACCACTGTGCTTTATTTGAAATGCGCATATAAAACTATCAATTTCTTTTCTGTAGACTTAAGAAATTAAGTTGGAGATGGTCAGCTGATTTGATTAGTCTTTCTAATTAAGCTTCAGGTTAAAAATTTAACTCACCAAGAAGATAGCTTTGCCTAAAGAAAAACCAATATACGCACAAAGACTGTATTGTTAGAGCCCCTACTTGGCCATACAAGGGATTAGTTTGAAAATCAGTATTACAAGGTAAAGTGTTAGGGACTATGATGATCCTTTTCTAGGTAATACTTTTTTCCTTGAGCTAAAGAGGCCACGTTTAGGAATATGAACTAGGATAAAAAAATAAAATTAATAGTTCAGGTGAATTGTATATAATATATTACTTAAGAGAATTTTCACTTTACTAAATCAGATCATTACAGCCATGCTGCTTTGGTGGATAAGGCACTGCAGCTCTTGAAGGAAAGAATAAGAAGAGGGGATGCTCTGGCTTATTTCCTACGAGGTCAGCTGTATTTTGAAGAGGTATCATTTATTTATTTGTATTAATTCCCTAGAAATTTATTGTTAGATCCTCAGAAACAAATTTCATGTTGTGTTCCTTACATTGTTATAGCAATGAAATCCTATCAAGTTACTTTAAGTATGACATACTGCTACCAGTTTAAAGAGATATCTGACCTTTCTTTGCAAAAGTCATTCTCAGTAATGTTATTAGTTGGAGTCATTTTGGTATTTAAAAAGTTCTTTTGTACACTATAAAATATATTTAACATACATAAAATATTTTTATATTACTAATAATTGAAGGCCCCAATTCCTATCTAGTACTAGATTAGTTTGTACTTAGAAGTACCTTTGTGTGTTTCTATATAGCATGGAGTCAGTCTCCCTCTTTATCCACATTATGCTGAGATAGTGTGGGAGGTAGACTTAAGAGAAATGATGCAAACTGTCTTCCCAACTTCAGTAATACAGCTTTGATTCTTCACTGAACCCCAAGGGAAAAGGGACTGTCCTCCGTCCCCCATGATTCAGTGACTATTTGGGAGTTATTCACCCATATCTCACTTTCTCCCTACAAACAAGTGTCTGTTGAGAACTTAGCATGCACTTGTCACTCTGAAATGGCAGAGTCCAACACTAACAGCATGCTCTCTCAGCTTTGGCACAGGTGTCAATACAGTTACACTGCTTGTTAAATGTGTGTTTGAGTACAAATAACCTCATGGTACCTCAGCTTGGAATCACTTTAAGGTCATAATAAAATAATCATTTTCTGGGGACGTATAGGGATGGTATGAAGAAGCATTAGAACAGTTTGAAGATATCAAGGAGAAAGATCATCAAGCAACTTACCAGCTAGGAGTCATGTATTACGATGGGCTGGGGACGACTGCAGATGCTGTAAGTTGTTTTGTTAACAGTGTGTACAAGTTCATTGTCGGGGGATTAGTTTGTACCATTAAATTATTTGTATTTTAGTAATGTCTCTCTTTGCTTATTTATTTGTGATAGGGTCTTGCTAAGTAGTTCAGGCTGGCCTTGAACTCACTTAGCACAGGCTGGCCTCGAACTATCGGCCATCCTCCTCAGTCTCCAGAGTGCCAGGCTTACAGGCATGCACCACCACACTTGGTCAAGTTGTCCTAATTAACAATACAATCTTTGCATATTAAAATATCTTCTAAAAATATTAGTTATTTCAAATTAGTGATGTTAGATAAAAATGGAACTTTTATGCATTGCATAAATAGTAAAGACATCTGTAACTCTAAATTTTGAGATACCAGGTCAGAAATAATCTTGGATGAGAAGCTGCATTGTCAGTTTGCCACAATTTGTTTTCAGTTGCCTAATTTGAATCTCTGAAGGTCAATTAGAATTTCTGAATTCCCTGATTTATCACAACAAATGTTCCTTGTTTTCACTGGCTGTCAATAACATTTCTGTTTAAAATGCTTTCCTTTATTCTTAAAAATAATAATTAATAATAATTCTCAATTCTTAAAAGCTACATGATTAATTAATAATTAAGCTACCTAATTAATTAATTAAAAAGCTACATAATTAATTAATTAATTAAGAATAATTTTTTTGGGGGGGGGGTTTCTCCGGTACCGGGAACCGAACTCACGACCTTGCGCTTGCCAGGCAGGCGCTTTTGCTGCTGAGCTAAATCCCCAGCCAAGAATAATTAATTCTTAATTCTTAAAAAGCTACATGATCCTGGGGAAAAATTAGAAAATAAGTAAAAATATAAATACTCCAAAATCTACTATCAAATATGAACACATATTATTTTATGAAAACCTCTTACCAGAACTTTGTCCTGAGATCCTTATAGTCAATTACTGATTCCTCTCTCTGTAGATCTTACTATGAATATCTCTACCTTTCTGTTTCCACATCTAATTCATCTACACATCTACTGAGAATATATACAAATCCTTTTATTTAAAACAGTAGTGCAGTAATACCTTTCCAGAGGGGTTATAGCCATCCTTGGAATTCCCCTTGAAAATCCCATTTGAATTAGGAGATCCTACTGTGCAATCCATGAACTATATGTTCATTCCTATGACCTTTCCACCTGTTTTAGTTGGATTAACGTATCATTTACTTTTTAATTCTACAAACATTTGGAACGATGTCAAAAACAAGTGCTGGAGAATCAAAGATGAGTATGCTAGACATCAGTGGTACAAAAGAGACTATCAGTATTGTGATGTGTGCTGGATTGAGATAGACACATTTGTAGGAAAAAAGATGGGGCCAGGGAAGTTTTCATAGAACACTTCCCTGACCGAAGCTGAATGTTATTAATAAAAAAAATCAGTAAGGAATAAAAAAGGAAGAAATGGCATTTAGACAGCGGAAGCAGCATGAGCAAAATCGGGAAACTTTCTTCAATAGACTAGATCCAAGTTCCCTAGCCACTTTTTTTTTTTAAGAGAAAAATTTCAAAACAAGATAATAGGACGGTAACAATGGTTAATACATTGCATATTGTTATCTTTAAATTAGTTACTCAGAGTAAAAGATACTGGCATTTAATTGTCTGAACAATATTAGCACAAACCTTTCTTTTCAATGAACTAAGAGAAATTAGTAGT